TGAATCAACAATCAGCCAGTAGGTTACACTTTACTTTTCCAACATTTCAAATCAAAATAAAATATGTAAATATGACTACAAGCAAAAAATATACAATATTATTTTACTTTAATTCTGCAGTCTCAGCAAACTGACATCCTGCCATTATCTTTCTATTGGTTCCCTTAAGACAGGACATATATAAATACAAAATGAGCCCATCGAAGTGAATTGGTGAAAATGCAAAGGTGCTGCTATTGTACAACTCCAAGGCAACATTTAAGACGTAAGATTAGAAGTCACAATGCTAACTTTACCTTATGAACACATATTTCTTGTGATGAGAAAGACAAGTGGGCATTTCATCACGACTGTTTGGATTTGTTCTTTGATATCATATCTACAAAACTATACAGTGCAAACAAGCCAAGCTGACCAATTCTACAAGTTTCAGATCCAGTGTCACCGATATGACTGCAATACTGGTGTTTCTGTGCTAAATATGCACACAGTATTCTCCATGGTAGAGCCTTTGTAGTTCACATGCTGGAAGTTCTGGGGACATCTTGACAGTCAGCAAGGTTAAGCTTTTGTCTAAGGAATTACAGTTAAGGATTTTATACTCCGTCAAGGTATAAAAGAAATGACTTGTGTTAGACAACCTGTAAAAGAACAGTTTGATTTTAAGGATGTCGCATGCTGCTGTCAGATCATGCAATAAGTAGGAACGTGTTGGACAACTTGTATATATTCAATAATTATATTATTGCACCCGGAAATGCATGCTTTGAAACGAGTCAGATCATTTACTAAGTAGATATACGTTTTGCAAATTTTTACATACGAAACGTCAGTCGGTCATTCTTGCTCAGGTTTCATCTGATAAAAACCCTACAATAACCCACAAGTAATATGCATGACTCCAGACCATCAATTAACATCCTGTGAAGCAAAAAAACTGCATGTTTTTTAAAAAACAAACTCAAGAAGTTTTTAATTTCAGCTTCCAGCTAAAATAAAAGTCATCTATCCATAATATTGCCTACTCCAGTGGAAAAAGTTATCTTGTCTGACTCAAGAGAGAAATATGCACTGATCAAGCACCGTTTACAAGCAAAAAGAGTTCTAAACATATTCAATACTGTATAAACATTTCACTGGAGGATGCGTTGTTATGGATTATGGCGGCTTTACAAACACTCAGGGATGTTAACTGTTGAACTGGAGTCATCTGGATTACTGGAAGATTATTGTGATGTTTTTATCATCTGTTTGGACTCTCATTCTGATGGCACCCATTCACTGCAGAGGACCCATTGGTGAGCAAATAATGCAATGCTAAATTTCTCCAAATCTGTTCCAATGAAGAAACAAACTCACTGACATCTTGGATGACCTGAGGGAGAGCGCATTTTTAGCAAATTTTCATTTTTGGGTGAACTATTTCTTTAACGAACCACTATAACAGCATCCATTTGAAAGTCTTCGACATAACTGTTAAAACCATGAAAGGATACATTGAGGAGCTTAACTCTTCCAGCTGAAGGGAAAAAGTGAACTTCATTAGACTGTCTGGACAACTGCATGAAAGAACTCATATTTCTGGATTTCATGACTAATTATTTAATATTGCTTTGCTTACATTTAATAACAGTTTATCCATGTTAGTGTCATAGGCGGACTTCCTCTGGTCTTCTGGCAACTCATCCACTTCTCCATACAGGTCGAATTGCAGACGAGCCAGTGTTTCCTGCATTTCTCTCACATGCTCCATCTGATCGATGGAGCACTCATTGCCTGATTCAGAGAAGATTCTGATTTCAATCAAAACTGTAAACACTTTAATATAGCTGCACTGTACTGTAAGAGCTTACCAAAGGCTTGTAATTTTCCAGAGTGGAAGTCATTAAGAAGGCTGAGCAGCCCCTTCTCCATCTCCTGAACATCAGACACATCTGTGAGAAACGAGTGCTGGATGCGGGCAGACTGGTTACTCTTACTCGACTGACTCTGAGGCCTTGGTTTGTCTCGCACTCCCCTAAAACCCAAAAACAAAATAAATAAATGAACCAAAATATGAAGAGTGAAATATGAAACCGCAATTTTAATAACTTACACAGATTTAATACGATGATAGATGACACTCACCTGCGATACTTTGTCCTCTGACTGGAGTGTGTGACCACACCACCTTTCTGCTCTGATCTGCTGCCGGATGTTGTCGTTTTCCGGGCAGTGATTGGGGGAGGAGGCTGGTTGGAAGACGGTTTTGGGCTTTTACGTTTCTTATTATTTTCCTCCATTGTGTCATCCAAATTACCTACAGAATAAAATAATACTTCTAAGCAGAGGAGCCTGAAAAGTTTCAAGTAATTTCAGTTTACATTAAGACCATATATTTGATGATGCCCTGCAAGCTTCAGTTTTGGTAACGTTACATAATCCAGAGGTTCCCAACCTTCTTGACTACAAACATTTTCCAAGACAACATTTAAAAGCCCCATATGTAGGCCAATATATTTCCAAACTTTGTATTTCTAGAAAGGGTGTTGATGACAGTACCATAATGAACCACAATTAGTTTGCATGACTCCAGAAGTTTCAAGAACTGTATGTTCGGCTATAAAAACAACAGTTATTGAGAGGATAAATTAAAAATAAATAAATAAAAATCTGACTTAATTTTTAGCAGTTTATAGCACTGTAATGAAGTCAGATTTTGGAATATACTTTTTAAATAATATAAATCCGAATAAAATATACATTTTAAATTAATTTTGTAGCCTCCGCGGAAGGCCCTCTAGCGGGCCCCTGACCCCCCCAGCTGAGAACCACTTATCCGGGATTACAGTAGAATGTTAAGCGTTTTGTTCATGATGAGCAGGCGACAAAATTATTCAAACTTAATATAAACAATGCCCGGTGATATTAAACAGTCTTACCGCGTGTATTAACAAGCGCTTCTAATCCTGTTTTACAGTAACACGCAACAATAATAAATAATATGCGAGCGAGTCAAGTGCGGCGTGAGTCGTGAACAACATGCCTAATAATCACGAGGGCAGTGTAGTAACGCATGCACAATTGTAGTCGACAGCAAATAAGTATAATTTTACCGCACAAAGGAAGACTCCACTTTTTTAGACTGAAATATTATCCTCTTCAAAAGACATTCTCGATGAGATTAGGCTGCTCTAAAGTTGGCACAGCGGACCAGCAAGTTTACAAAAGGCACTTCCGGGATTTTCACGTCATCGTGGTGCTCTCAACACGCCCTGCGTCCCAATGTTCATACTAGCCATTATTAGTGTGTGAGATTAGAAAGCGTCCCAAAGCATAGTATGTTGAAAAGAGTATGCCAAAAGTCCCCGGATGGTCTTCTATTTCAGGTAGATTTTTTAAGTGTGGATCGTGCACTCTAATGACTAATATTGCCCACAATTCATTGCGCTTTGGCGAAGTATTCGGTTCAGAACTACAAACACGATTTAAAAAGCGTTGAAAAACTACAAACATGGCGGATGTGCGCGACCGTGAGGTTTAGATAACCGGGGTTGAGTTACTAATAATTCAAAAAAGAACGTGCTACTTCTTTTCTCTCCAATACGGTAGGAAGTTAAATGAAATGTGGAGGATGTTAAGATTTTTTAAGTGTGGATCCGTGCACTCTAATGACTAATATTGCCCACAATTCATTGCGCTTTGGCGAAGTATTCGGTTCAGAACTACAAACACGATTTAAAAAGCGTTGAAAAACTACAAACATGGCGGATGTGCGCGACCGTGAGGTTTAGATAACCGGGGTTGAGTTACTAATAATTCAAAAAAGAACGTGCTACTTCTTTTCTCTCCAATACGGTAGGAAGTTAAATGAAATGTGGAGGATGTTAACTGTGACAAGATTAGTGACAGGATGCGACAGAGCGGACGTAGTATGTCCCAAAGCTTGCGTACTCTTCTACTACACACTCATAAGTGTGTACATTTTCTTCACCAAAAGAGCACTTCTTCTTTTTCTTGTTTTTTTTTTTTTTTGCGGTTGGCAAACAGCTTTAAGGTATATACCGCCACGTGCTGGTTAGGAGTGTGGGCCAAGGTCACACAACCCTTTTCCCAGTATCCCTTACACACCTAAATTCTTTTATCTAATTCAGTCTTTTTCAGATATTGCATTAAAACAAAATCAAAACCTTCATCACATGAGTACCTTTGTAATATGTTTGTTAAATCAAACTTAATCTTAATGTTCTCCTTTCACTATTATACTTTGGGCATTTTCATTACAACATGCTCTTCATTTTCTTGTTAATTACAATGCTCACGTTTTTCTGTCTCATGTTTTTCCTATTTTATACAAGGTACTATTAAGTGCTGTATGCCCACATCTAAATAATTATTTATTCCGTTCTATTTCTCCTTGTTACTCTACCTTTACTAGCATTTCTTTGGATGTTATAAAGCCATCTTCCTGCTCTTTCTTCTTCTTTTTTTTAATCCCATTTTTTAAATCCAATTAAAAAAATAACATTTAAATGGAAGTCTGACTGGTTAGTTCTTTTGAAATATTGTATAATAAACCAGATACAGACAGCCACTTAAAGATCCACTAAAAAGCCACTAAATCGCTACAGTGGTCCAATTTAATGTCATGTATTTTAACAAATCATTACTCTAATGACGCACCAGAAACAGCCACGTCTCTTAGTAATAATATATTTTTTCTATTTATTGAGTGATCTATTAAATTATTAACTACCTCAAATAAACGCTTCACCCATCCTTTCTAGTGTAATTAATAATTTCCTTTTCTATTTATGCTCGCTTCTCTTTGGCGCATGCGCACCAAGTCACCTGTCATATGAGTGCGCATGCGCTCTGTCTGAAGGAATTTCGTGAAAGAGTTTGGATCAGCGCGAACAATAAACGCTTTCTAAAGACTTAGACCGATCGATCCCAGTCTTATCCTTCTCCTGTCCCGGAATCAACCTCAGTAAGTAGCGAGCGAACCGTTGTGCTCCAGGTTGCGTCCAGTATTTAAAAACAAGAGGATGGTAATGCGTTTCTACTTTCCCAAAGCGGAACTGAATACGAGACCAACTCACCAACTTCTGTCTTAAATAAACAAACACATTTTATCAGTAAGTTAGCGATAAAGAGCACCGTGAAACATCATGAGTAAACCGTAAGTAGAAAAGAAAAACCGACCGTAAATAGTGGTGTTGGGGTCTTGGAGACTTGGGGAAATCACGAGGACTTTCCCCACTTTCAGAGAAACGTACTAACTTTCTTAACGCGCTCATTTATTTAACGTTACCTGACGAAATTGTGCTCTGTCCTTCTGGCCTTGGGTGTAAACCGTACATCTTGGAATTAGCAGCGTTAAACATCATTGCAATGTCAGATTATACTCTCTGATAAGATTTGATTTTCTTCTTTAAGAAACAAATATGTGTGGTTTCCTGTACGTCAGTGTGGAGGATTTGTCAGATCTTCATATTGTAGTTTAATCCCATATGAAATTAATGCAGGTCCATATAGTGCTGTTTATAGCGTGTCTGATGCAGAATACAGTGAAACTGGTGTAAGAGACATGATGTAATAACCGAACCTTGAGGAACCTGTTTTTGTTGACAAGCTGGAAGTGCTTAGTTCTTAAAGAGGCGTTTCTCGTGCATGGACTGTTCAGTGAAGTCTGTAACATGCCATTCAGGATCATGCTAATCCTCTTAAAACACACCTGTTGTTAAAAAGAACCTTGGATAAGTAAGATGAGTGGATAAGAAGTGAGTTAAAAGGGATACCTTACCCCAAAATGAAAACTCTGTCATCATTTATTCACCCTCATGTTGTGCCAAACCTGAATGACTTTCACAAAAGCAAATGTAAGGCAGAATTTGCCTCGGTCATTATTATCTTTCATTGCATCTTTTGTCTTTTCGTGCTACGCCGAAGAAATCAAGTCATGCGGGTTTGGAGCAACACCAGTGAAACATTTTGGCTGAAATATTCTTTTAAGTTTGTTTGTGTGAATTTGCGTCTACCTTGTTGGGATTTGAAGCCGGAAAAGGCTGCAGAAATGAAGGAAAAGACATATGAGATCTGTTTCCTGTGTGCCGACAGGCCTGTTACACACTCATAAGCACTTTATTAGTCTTTTTACCGCAGTTTTACTACAGTGCATGTGAGATTTTTATAAGCTGGGACAGTATATACTAGTCGATAATTGACTTGTAGTGTCCTCAGTATCTGTTTATCCATTATTTTTTTATGAGTATTTCTGCTCTTCTGGGTTCTTTGCAGTGAAATACACCCCAAAATGGCATGTGTCTTATGTGGAACACAAAATCTTGATAGAAGCATCACACTTCTCTTGTATCTCTCTCACACCCATCTCACACTATTGTTAACAGTGTTTTAAACCGCACAGACATGCGCATTTTCAGTTTTAGGGCGTATAATCTGCGCTGAGTAAATGTGTTGTCTGTACCGTTTATATCCTCTTGACGTTCTCTGAGGTGTAACTTTTTAATAACATGTTTGATCGACTTTGTCATTACTTTTAAAACAATTGACAACTGATGATCACTGTCCATGCTGAATGTCTTTATTTTCATTATATATTTGCACTTTCTCACCCACAATTTTGTCATCTACTCAGCCTTGTGTCACGAAACTTGCAGTATATCATTGGAAAAATAGCGAATGAGTTGTATGGACTACTTTATGGAGTTGAACATTAAATAAGATCATTTGAGTAACATGAGGCTGAGTAATGATGACAGTATTTCCTTCATATTCCAGGTGGTAAATTTCCATGGGAAAGCTTTTTCTGTGGGCACCTTTGTTTGTGTGGCTATGACTGAACTTTGACCTCTTACCTCTGACCTGCAGACCCCAGAGCGTAGAGCTTAAGGCCACAGGAGGGGCAGCAAATTTGGACACCAGCAAGATGGCAGACATGACAGTGGAGGACATCACATTGAGAGCCAACCATGTTACAGATGAGGTATGCTTGTCATCTAGTACTATAGCCATATAACAAAAAAGCAAATATATATATATTTTTAATTAGATGTCATTTTGCAAGTTCCCGTATATGTGCCAACTCATTGTTTGTGACAGCAAAGTCACTGCGAAGTCTTTTTCTCTTTACTCGCAATTTAATTGCTCTGTTTCTCAACCTTATTAAATGTTTCATGCACTAACAGTTGTAAAATAATATTCTTCACGTATATTTTTTGGCTTTGGGATCTTCCGTGCTATTAAAATCGTCAGATAATGTTAACATACTCCTTTCTTGCTTTACTCATAACTTTGTTTCTTTCTCTCTTTCTCTTTCTTGCTGCCTCTGAAGGGACTTACATGAGCCTGTGTGCTGTAATTAAGACTAATAGCATGAAGGGGACACTGTACTCATGCACCAAAGCATGGGTGACTGGGGGTAAACGGGATCCATGAAACCCCCACCCACTTTACATGTTTTTACTGTGAATGTGCAATTAGTGTTTAAGCACCATTAGAATGTAATTTCCCAGGTCAAAAGTGGATTAACAATAGCTGATTTCTTAATAGCCCTATTTGGAAATGTTTTATTTTTCACAGTTATGCCAATATGCCACCCCATTACTGTGTACATCTTGTGTTCCTTGCATGGTTTCATAGCATTATCTAGGCTTTTCACATTTCTGACACTTTCTGTATTTAACTGCCAGTTTATGTTTTTTTCTCTCATAAATATCTACCCTTTGTGGCTTCATGAGCCAGATGCACTGAAGTGTTCAGTGTGCATTGTTTTATTTGATGTTTGCATCAAATGAATGTTCAACAGAATAAGGGCTGTGTCACATTACCGTAGTTATTTGACTACCTTTTGAATATGTGCATTTTGTTTCTTTCAGTCACTTGAAAGCACTAGGCGGATGCTACAGATGTCAGAGGAGGTAAGAGTTCCATATATATATATATATATATATACACACACACACGTATATACTGTATATGTGTATATATATATATATATATATATATATATATATATATATATATATATATATATATACACATATACTGTATATGTGTGTGTGTGTGTGATATCCAAGGTTGCATTTAGTTTGAAATTTGGATTATTTTATAAATGCAGTGAGCCTATTATATATAAATATATTTAATATATAAACAACACATTTTTTAAATATATACACGTATGTGTGTGTATTTATATATACATGTAAATATACACACATATTATGTAAACAAACTTTTAATTTGGATATGATTAATCACGATTAATCGCTTTGACAGCACTAGTGCAGATTCATGAATGCTCACAATCACCTGCATTTGAGTTATATAAATCTTGATACAAGTATATGTATATTTTCAGAGCCGGGAGACGGGTGTCAAAACAATGACCATGCTGGATGAGCAGGGAGGTAAGTGACTGCACCATTCCTCCTCATTCCTGAAACCTACTTTGTTAATCACATTAAACCATTGCTATAATCTGTAAGAACTTCATTTAGGAGATTATGGCTTGTTAAAACCTAATTTAATCTGCTTCATTCTGTCTTGATCAGAGCAACTGAGGCGAGTCGATCAAGGAATGGACCAGATCAATCAGGACATGAGGCAGGCTGAGAAGAACCTGACTGATCTGTCCAAATGCTGTGGCCTGTGTGTGTGCCCATGTGACAGGTTCGCTATTATAACTCCACTTCTAAGCTGGATTTAAAATATTCTGCATTGTGTTGTATCATATAACATTAAATTCAGTAGTATTTTTGCGGGGACTTCTCTTAGCATATTATTGAAATTAAATGAATTGTCATAAGATCTTTCTGGAGTTAATGAGAGTATTAAAAACCTCCTTTCTTTCAGAGTGTCTTCCATTGAGCATGATGGGAGATATAAGAAGACTTGGGGCACAGGTAGTGACAACTCCAGTACAGACAGAAAAGAGGGTGGTGTTGTATCCAGCCAGCCTACTGGTGTTCGCAATGGACAGGCTGTTTCGGGTGGGTCAGCGGGTGGATCTGGCCCCTACATCAAGAGGTGAGGGGAAAAATAGCACTAAATAATGGGAATTCATCCAGTGTCAGACTTGAATCTTTTGATTTGAATCAATTGTTTAAAGCAAGTAAATGAGAACCATATGTTAACAGTATAGTTCACTCAAAAATGAAAATTACCCCATGATTTACTCACCCTCAAGCCATCCTACCTGTATATGACATCTTAGGTGTATATTATTAAAACTGTTGGTGTATATATTATAAACCATATTCCTCGTTTTATACTTCTAATTTGTGACCGGTGTTTTGTTTGCTCTCTCCACTGCGCCAAAGTCTCTTTCAAGGAAAGTCTGCTCACTCGGCAGCCATATTTGCAACGCTTCCCTGCAGCTATTTCGGGCATCCAAGACCAAGTCCTATCTAAATGAATGGGTGAATCCTGAAATCTCAAAAAGTGCCTGCTGAACTCACAATTAAATTTCATATTTCAAATCAGCAACACAATCTGAAATGAACTGCCCCATGAATGTTGTTCCTTATGCTCAAATAGTGTTAAAAAAAAGCTTATTTTTCAGGCTAGACCAGCCAATGCGCAGTCATAAGTGCTAGTCTCAGGTTTCTAGTGACATGACATGTGGCCAAGTTGGCCAAGTATCCAAAGTGCACACACACACCGTGAAAACACACCCGAAGCAGTGGGCAGCCATTTTTTTGCTGCGGCGCCCGGGGAGCAGTTGGGGGTTCAGTGCCTTGCTCAAGGGCACCTCAGTCGTGGTATTGAAGGTGGAAGAGAGCACTATACATTCACTCCCTCCCCCCCCTTGCGGAAGCTAGAGATTACGGTTTATAATACACTTTATTGGACTTCAAAATCTCAACACACATTCACTGCCATTATAAAGCTTGGAAGAGCCAGGACATTTTTTAAATATAACTCAGATTGTATACATTGTCTTTGCCCTGCCACATAAATACATGTAGACATTTCTGCTTTCCCAAAAGAGTAACAAATGATGCACGAGAAGATGAGATGGAGGAGAATCTGGAGCAGGTGGGCAGCATCATCGGAAATCTCAAGAATTTGGCCATGGATATGGGCAATGAGATCGACAAACAGAACAAAACCATTGACCGCATCAATGATAAGGTAAAGCTACACCATCAAACAGCCAGAGGTCAGATCAGCAGTCTTCCCCATGATTGTGTAGCCTAGTGAACCAAACTGAGAGACCATTTTAAAATATATATAATTTTTCCCAGGCTGATATGAATAAAGCTCGCATTGATGAAGCCAACCAACGAGCCAACAAACTTCTGTAGAGAATGGACACTGCCAGCATCGCTCAGGAGCCTGATTGTTTGATCTCTCTCTCTCTCACACACACACACACACACACACTTTCTGCTTCACAGCAATGAACTACAGCAAGTGAGTTAAGTTCTTCCAATGCCATCTGTGCCTTTTTTTTTTTACCGTTCCGTTTGTCCTATTGTAAATAGTTGGACACATGCACACAGATATATTATAGAGCCTCCTGTACAATCAAGTCTTCACCCTTAATGTATGAGACAAATATGCTGGACGCACCGAGTGCAGTTGTTTTTGTGGCTTTGCTCACTGCGCTCCTCTCAGTCTGTAATGGATGGAGTCTAATCTCTCGGGATGGTGATGGGTTTTGTCCGTCCCTCTCACTACACTTCAGTCAACATGGCTAATTGCTTCAATAGACTGAATGAGTGGCCAAAGACTTACGACAGAACTTTTCATGTTCTGGTATGCTGCCCTTATAGTCGTTGATATATGTTTGGGCTAATGATATAATGTTTGTTTTCTGTTTAGCTTGATCTATGACTGATTATACTCATATTTAATTATCTTAAAAGTCATTAATGGGCCTTGTGAATACAGTTCAATGTTTGGGGGGGAAATAATTTACCATGCTATATAGGAATTGGACATTTCAATGTATCTGTTTTACTGCTAATAAAGCCTGTATAATAATTCCTTGGATGTTTTCCCTTTTTGTGTGTTGTCGACTTTACAAGTAGAGGGTGCTGCCACATTACTTTATTTTATGATGAAAATTTGAAGATGGGATTTGAGGTGTTTATTGCCAGTATATACACCAGTGCATTTTCCAAACTAGCATTGTAAGATACGCTTAGTTAGTTGACAAGTTCTGTGCCGGGTTCAGACTACACGATATTTTTGTCGGTCACGATAGTCACTGTGTCAGATTACACGATTTTGACTCCTAAAATCTTGTCGTGGCGTGGACAAGAAACATGTCAGACTACACGTTGCTTCCCAACCATTCATCGCGTGCCGTCTTTAACGACGCGCGTGATGTCATCAAGAAGGGAACTAGCGACTGACTTCCGGAAACAAGAGTGTAAACATTGCTGAAGCACTTCCGCTATAGTTCGCCAGCATTTTTCTTTCTTTGTTCTGTCGTGGTAGTCCCTCGATGACACATCATACAGGCAGGAGTACTGTTGCCACAGCTCCACGAACCTTTCCTCCATCTCATAATTCCACCTAGCAGCACCATCATCTCTCTTTCATTTTGCCATGTTTGAAACCTGTGTACACTCTTAGAAAATAAAGGTGCTTCACGATGCCATAGAAGAACCTTTTTTGTCTAAATGGTTCCATAAAGAACCTTTAACATCTGAAGAACCTTTCTGTTTCACAAAAGGTTCTTTGTGGTGAAAAAAGGTTCTTCAGATTATAAAAAGGTAAGAAAGAGATGGTTCTTTAAAGAACCTTTGACTGAATGGTTCTTTGTGGAACCAAAAATGGTTCTTCTATGGCATCGCTGTGAAGAACCTTTTGAAGCACCTTTATTTTTAAGAGTGAAAGAGCTTCTGTGCTGCTATTGGTCAATGTCACCAATGGGACAGAACTCGTAAACATTAAACATGCTAGTCGTGATGTTGTGAAGCATCGCAGACGCGGAATCGGTTGTCGTCCACTATGACACACTACACGTGCTGAAACGATGAAATCTTTCGCCCATTGTCGTTTACGAATCCCTACCTCAAGCAAATCATGGCAAAATCGGGCTAAAATCGTGTAGTCTGAACCGGGGATTATTAGTCTACCATGGCTGAGAGATGAGGGCTGTTTTCTGTTAATTCCAGCTTTCATCTGTTCATGGATAGTTCTACTTGGACCGACTCTTCTCTGGTCTTCCTCAGGAGGATTTAATTATTTGAATTATTTGATGCCTCAAGAACTAGGACAGTGCCTTTGTTTCAACTCCCTTTGAGACTTTCTGTGTCCGCTGTTTAGGAGACTGCTGAGGAGGGTCCGCATATGCTGTGGAGCCAGAGGAACCATCCTCAAGTTTTCAGCCAGCCCTGTTCCCTGACAAAGTCTGACAAATGTAATGCGACATCGGATGTAATGTAAAAAATAAAATCTGATGAAAAATTATTTGTATTTGATGCTACTCGTATAGTAAAACTTGATATTTATTAGAAAACAGAAAGACATTCACAGTTAAAAGGACAGCTCAGTGTATTTTCCCATGTAGGTCAAAAACTGTCTATACCTTCCCACCCCACTATGCCACCTCACTTCCTGTTAAGAATGGTTGCCCATAGAAGTAGCAAAGGCAGGTGCAATACCTGTCATTATCTAATCATTTTAAATATGTAACACTGTGGCTCCAAGCATTGGTTCATCAACAACTTCATACACATGATTTTAAAGAACATACAACTTCAGAATCTTGAGAGCTCTGGCCTGGATTAAATATTAGAGGTAAAGGTTAAGGTGGGATGTGGTTATTGGTTGGGCAAGTACCTTGTTTCTCCTTTTTTGTACCCACAACTGTCACTGAGGGATTTTTGTGATGCAAAGAGGAAACTTTAACATGTACAACTGAATGATTACAACACTCAGAACTGGAGCATCTTGAGAGTAAGTTCACAGATACACATACACTTTTAGAGGAGCTAAAAGAGGCACAAAAATATTCTACTAGACAATCACTTGTACTTTTTCTATTGTTGAAATTCTGCTGCTTAATAGATTATTTAGCGTGTCTTAAATTAATCAAGCTGAGGTGATTGTTACTGAGGTAGGAATCATGTTTTAAGCCAAGTTAGAGAAAAGATTTCATTAAATCATACCATGATGTGTATTGTTTTATTATTATAATTTCTGATTGGGAGGCTAAGAACTGTTCTCTTTTCATTTATAATTGTCATGCATATATTTTCACATGAATTTCTGTGGCAGTCTTTGATTATATGCAAATGTATCATCTTAAATTTAACATACTTTTACCAGAGTGTATGTAAAGTTTCTTGCCAGCAGAATGGCTGAAATGTCAGAGGAGGAGATGATAATTAAAGCCAACCAATTAACAGATGAGGTAAGTTTGTTATCGGATTCCACGAGTATTTATTAAGATCATGAGATGAATCCTTCTTGTTTTTCTTTAATTAGTTGCTGTTTTCAAGTTCCTGTAAAATTCCCAGCTCATATGAAAGCAACATTCTTTCATTTCTGTAAACTGAAGATAAAAAATACTTATTTTGCCCCATCTTGATATTTTCTAGGTCAAATGTGGTTTAGTGAGAAGTGTGGAAATATTTTTTTTTTTTACAACCACAGTCTATCAGAAGTATTAGTGTGGATTCACTCTTCATTCATCTGAAATATTTAACACATACTTTTGTCCTATGTGTGTGCATATGTGTGACATATAAGCTTATTTCCGTCATCGGATTAAAAAAAAAAAAAAAATATATATATATATATATATATATATATAT